ACAGGTTTCCAGCAATAAATTTTTTGAAGAAAAAAACACTATGAATGTGTAAAAACAGGTTTTAATATCAGAAATACTTTGTAAGAAAATTATTTCCAGCAATAAATTTTTGAAATGTTTCTACAGAATGAAAATTTCCAACCTAAAAAAATGTGTAAAAACAGGTTTTTAATATCAGAAATACTTTTAAATAAGAAAAATTATTTCCAGCAATAAATTTTTGAAGAAAAAAAAAAATACACTATGAAAGTGTAAAACAGGTTTTAATATCAGAAATACTTTTAAGAAAATTATTTCAGCAATAAATTTTTGAAGAAAAAAACACTATGAATGTGTAAAAACAGGTTTTAATATCAGAAATACTTTGTAAGAAAATTATTTCCAGCAATAAATTTTTTGAAGAAAAAAAAACACTATGAAAGTGTAAAAAACAGGTTTTAATATCAGAAATACTTTTGTAAGAAAATTATTTCCAAAAATAAATTTTTGAAGAAAAAAACACTATGAATGTGTAAAAACAGGTTTTAATATCAGAAATACTTTGTAAGAAAATTATTTCCAGCAATAAATTTTTGAAGAAAAAAACACTATGAATGTGTAAAAACAGGTTTTAATATCAGAAATACTTTTGTAAGAAAATTTATTTCCAGCAATAAATTTTTTTGAAAAAAAAAACACTATGAATGTGTAAAAACAGGTTTAATATCAGAAATACTTTGTAAGAAAATTATTTCCAGCAATAAATTTTTGAAGAAAAAAACACTATGAAAGTGTAAAAACAGGTTTTAATATCAGAAATACTTTGTAAGAAAATTATTTCCAGCAATAAATTTTTGAAGAAAAAAACACTATGAATGTGTAAAAACAGGTTTAATATCAGAAAACACTTTGTAAGAAAATTATTTCCAGCAATAAATTTTGAAGAAAAAAAACACTATGAATGTAAAAACAGGTTTTAATATCAGAAATACTTTTGTAAGAAAATTATTTCCAGCAATAAATTTTTTGAAGAAAAAAACACTTGAAAAAACAGTAAAAAATATCAGGTTTTAATATCAGAAATACTTTTTAAAGAAAAATTATTTCCAACAGCAATAAATTTTTGAAGAAAAAAAACACTATGAAAGTGTAAAAACAGGTTCTAATATCAGAAATACTTTGTAAGAAAATTATTTCCAGCAATAAATTTTTGAAGAAAAAACACTATGAATGTGTGTAAAAACAGGTTTTAATATCAGAAATACTTTGTAAGAAAATTATTTCCAGCAATAAATTTTTGAAGAAAAAAACACTATGAATGTGTAAAACAGGTTTTAATATCAGAAATACTTTGTAAGAAAATTATTTCCAGCAATAAATTTTTGAAGAAAAAAACACTATGAATGTGTAAAAACAGGTTTTAATATCAGAAATACTTTGTAAGAAAATTATTTCCAGCAATAAATTTTTGAAGAAAAAAACACTATGAATGTGTAAAAACAGGTTTTAATATCAGAAATACTTTGTAAGAAAATTATTTCCAGCAATAAATTTTTGAAGAAAAAAACACTATGAAAGTGTAAAAACAGGTTCTAATATCAGAAATACTTTGTAAGAAAATTATTTCCAGCAATAAATTTTTGAAAAAAAAACTATAGATGTGTAAAACAGGTTTTAATATCAAAATACTTTTTTGAAAATTAAAATTTTTTGAAGAAAAAACACTATGAATGTGTAAAAACAGGTTTTAATATCAGAAATACTTTGTAAGAAAATTATTTCCAGCAATAAATTTTGAAGAAAAAAACACTATGAATGTGTAAAAACAGGTTTTAATATCAGAAATACTTTTCCAGCAATAAAGATAATTATTTCTATGCAATAAATTTTGAAGAAAAAAATTACTATGAAAATGTTTTAAAAAAACACTATGAAAATGTAAAAACAGGTTTTAATATCAGAAATACTTTGTAAGAAAATTATTTCAGCAATAAATTTTTGAAGAAAAACACTATGAATGTGTAAAAACAGGTTTTAATATCAGAAATACTTTGTAAGAAAATTATTTCCAGCAATAAATTTTTGAAGAAAAAAACACTATGAATGTGTAAAAACAGGTTTTAATATCAGTAATACTTTGTAAGAAAATTATTTCCAGCAATAAATTTTTGAAGAAAAAAACACTATGAATGTGTAAAAACAGGTTTTAATATCAGAAATACTTTTTCCAGCAATAAATTTTTTGTAAGAAAATTTTTTCCAGCAATAAATTTTTCAGAAGAAAAAAACACTATGAATGTGTAAAAACAGGTTTAATATCAAAATACTTTGTAAGAAAATTATTTCCAGCAATAAATTTTTTGAAAAAACAAAAAAAAAAACTATGAATGTGTAAAAAAAGGTTTTAATATCAAGAAAAAACTTTGAAAAAAAATTATTTCCAGCAATAAATTTTTGAAGAAAAAAAACACTATGAATGTGTAAAACAGGTTTTAATATCAGAAATACTTTGTAAGAAAATTATTTCAAAAATAAATTTTTTCAGAAAAAAACACTATGAATGTGTAAAAAACAGGTTTTAATATCAGAAATACTTTTGTAAGAAAATTATTTCCAACAATAAATTTTGAAGAAAAAAAACACTAAATGTGTAAAAACAGGTTTAATATCAAAATTTTTTTTTAAGAAAATTATTTCCAGCAATAAATTTTTGAAGAAAAAAACACTATGAAAGTGTAAAAACAGGTTCTAATATCAGAAATACTTTGTAAGAAAATTATTTCCAGCAATAAATTTTTGAAGAAAAAAACACTATGAATGTGTAAAAACAGGTTTTAATATCAGAAATACTTTGTAAGAAAATTATTTCCAGCAATAAATTTTTGAAGAAAAAAACACTATGAAAGTGTAAAAACAGGTTCTAATATCAGAAATACTTTGTAAGAAAATTATTTCCAGCAATAAATTTTTGAAAAAAACACTATGAATGTGTAAAAACAGGTTTTAATATCAGAAATACTTTGTAAGATAATTATTTCCAGCAATAAATTTTTTGAAGAAAAAAAACACTATGAAAGTGTAAAAACAGGTTTTAATATCAGAAATACTTTGTAAGAAAATTATTTCCAGCAATAAATTTTTGAAGACAAAAAACTATGAATGTGTAAAAACAGGTTTTAATATCAGAAATACTTTGTAAGAAAATTATTTCCAGCAATAAATTTTTGAAGAAAAAACACTATGAATGTGTAAAACAGGTTTTAATATCAGTAATACTTTGTAAGAAAATTATTTCCAGCAATAAATTTTTGAAGAAAAAACACTATGAATGTGTAAAAACAGGTTTTAATATCAGAAATACTTTGTAAGAAAATTATTTCAGCAATAAATTTTTGAAGAAAAAAAACACTATGAATGTGTGTAAAACAGGTTTTAATATCAGAAATACTTTGTAAGAAAATTATTTCCAGCAATAAATTTTTTGAAGAAAAAAACACTATGAATGTGTAAAAACAGGTTTTAATATCAGAAATACTTTGTAAGAAAATTATTTCCAGCAATAAATTTTTGAAGAAAAAAACTATTAGCAGCAATACATTTTTGAGGAAAAAAATATTAATAGCGATAGTGTTTTGAAAAAAAAAATTACAGCAACACATTTTTGAAAAAAAATATTACCAGAAATAAATTTTTGAAAAAACAAAATATTATTAGCAATGAAAATTTTGTCGGCATTGGGGTTGATATACCGTAAAATAAAACAAAAAAAAAACAACCAAACCATCGTAGCCTTTGCATCAACGTAGAGATTATTACTTAGCCTGGAACAAGCAGATGGAGGTTACTTTTGAGAATCGAAATCGTAACATCTGGTAATTGAATCCTGGTTAAATATGAATTAGTTTAATTGTGTGAAAGTCAAAATAATTTAGTAATTGTTATTGTTTGTGGTAGTACTGGTTAACCCCCAGTAGTTTGCACTGTTCCCAGTAGATCCTTATTCTCACTCAATCACATCTATTTCTGTATGCTTATATGCTATTTAGATACATCCATATATTGTATACTCATTCGTGATATTTAATTCTTGAAGTTTTACAACAATTACATCTAAAGTGTTTTATTGACGTTCGAATGACAGGCTATTTACTCATAATGTTTTTATTTCTTTGTTACAATGAAAATAATTATTAATTGGTGTTGTTTTCGTGTTGTTTTTTCATAATAATTATAACTACCATCGCCTATGAAAATTACACGGTTTCGCTATTTGAATTTTCTCATATATCATAATAATCGATGAATAAATATGTTCATTGCGAGTTCCACAATTATAAACACCCGTAAAATTTTCCTTATTGCACGCTTAAATATTTGAGCTTAACAACGATAAGTATGAATTCCTGTCAAGTAGTAAGTGGGTACAAATGAAAAGATATATATTTGACAAGTTTTTCCATTACACTGAAAACATACACTATAAACACAAGAGCGATATCGCATTCTCTTTCTTCCTTTCTTTCTTTCTTTCTTTCTTTCTTTCTTTCTTCTCACGGAAACCAAACAGCGTCTTGTCCTGGGTATGGACATAAAATACATACGACAGCACGGCCTCTGATTGGAAGGTTTTGAATGGTATGGAACCACCAATTAATTGCTGCTTTTCCCAGGTCTTCTCTGACCCAAGTTTGTAGCACCTGTTAGGGTCTTAATTACGGGCAGCAAATAATGTATTCACAAGCATGAAAATATCAAAATGCAATAGAAAAATTTACCATTTACACATTTTCATAAAAAAAAAAAAAAAAAAAACACCAGCAAGCTCACAAGAAAATAAAATTTCGGTATTAAATGAATCAAGAAGTTGAAAAGCCATTGAACAAACACACCAAAGCAAACCAAACCAAGCAGCGTCCGTGATATATCTTTCTTGTTTTTCATCACGATCACAAGGAACGAAGGGACAAGAAGAAGAAGAAAGAAGAAAGAAGAAGAAGAAAGAAGAGAAGGAGGAGGGGGATATGAGATTATCTGCTAATATCCTTTGTGTTATTTTTTTTTATTCAGTTTTATTCTTTTTCTCCATTTTTTCTAATTTAATTCTTCATTCTTCTATTTCTGCTTTATTTCTTTTTTCTTCATTTATTTTCATTCATCTCATGGTTCTTCATTATTCTTCGCCATCATTTTCCGTCATTCTTTTTTTTCTTTCTTCAATCTCTTTCATTTTTGTCATTTTTCTCTATTTCCGTTCTTCTTCGTTCTTTTTCATTCATTATTCATTCTTCTTCAGTTTCCTTCTTCATTCTTCATTCATTATCATCCCTCATTCGGATCCATCGCTATTCATAATTCTTTATAATTCGTCTTTGATTTTTTTTTTCATATACTTTATTCGTCTTCTTAATTCTCCTTCATTCTTCTATTTTGTAATTGTTCATTCTTCATCATTCCTTCTCTTTCTTTTTACTTTTTTTTTTTTTAATTCTTGATCTCGTTCATCCTTGTCCTACTATAGCCTTTATTCATCATTGTTTCCCTTTATTTTTTTTTTAAATTCTTTATTTTCATTCTTCTTCGCTATATTTCTTCATTCTTTATCCGCCTTTATTTTCACTCTCTTTCATCTTTTTTTCACTTTTCTTCATTCCATCTTTACTTTTTACTTGCCAACTCCCACCTCTAATCCAAGTGCCGATTCTCAAAAGCTAATATTTCATACCAGAAAAAAGATTAAACGCAAACAGCGATAACAATAGAATTCGAATCTCACAGATTCGAGCAAGAAACTCCTCAAAAGAAGAGAAAAGAAAAGAGACATATATTTAGCCTATTCAAATCTTACTCGACAATACTTTGTAGCTTAGTATTTTTGCAGCGAGATTCTTTTTCTATAATTTTCATAATCTTTGTTGACAGCTTTCTACTGCCATCATTGATATTTATTTTCGTTTTGATTTCTCCAAGAGAGTCATTCTCGTGAGCATGAAAAGCTTCCTATGTACGTAGGCTTTTGTATAAAACTGCGAAAGAATACTTTGTGCAAATGTCTCTCGCTCAAAATTCTCTTTTCACAAATTTCGCAGAAAATAGTGCAATTCTCCTAAAAATGGCCCCAAAAAAAAAAAAAAAAAAAAGAAAGAAAAGAAGAGATTTGTGTTATTGAATCACCTGCAATAATGTCGCGATTTCAAAGGTGTTCCAAGTGGGAGAGTTAAATCGAATAAATATTTACAGACTGTTTCCAAATGATAAATTTCACTTTCAGAATCCTTAGGAAGCATATCGACTGAATAAATTTTGATTCTTAATCACCAAATCAAAAATTACTTCTAACAAAGGCTTAAAAAAACACCGGTTCTTGTACGATCACCGAAGTTAAGCAATGTCGGCCGTAGTCAATACCTCGATCGGTTGACAGCTTGGGAAAACCAGGTGCTGTAAGTTTAGATGTGCGGGTGGTGTTATATATAATGTCTGGCAATTGTTATTCGGAGAGCCGAGTTCCAATTCCCTTTGGGTTCGTTATATTCACTTATAATACTTATAATTATTATACTATTGGTAAAGTATGAATCCACCCCATCTCCCCTACTTATGGGTTAATTAGTGTTGAAACTTGACTAATGCATGGAATAATAATACAACACAAAATGTACTTAGAACAAAATGTATTGAAACAAGAAAGGTACACAATATTTACATATAGTCTTTTGTATATTCTAGGGAAGACCGTTCCTGGAGAATGTGTTGACTTAGTCGCAGTCGGGCAGAGTCTCTGGATTGAATCTCTTGATTCCTCCCCTCGTCTTCCCGGTACCAACCATATTTATATGGTCGGTACTCCACTATGCAAATTAGGTGGATCCTACCACAACAATTAGTAAGAAACTGTTTTTATCACAAAAATATTCATGCAATTTGGAAATATTTTTCTGGCTTTAAATAACTTGGAGATGTTTGATAATCTGGAAGAAAACAAATCAATCTATTAGAAAAAAAAATATTATGACAAATGGAGCTTTTAACCGAGTACCTATCTTAATGCTATGTAAAATCAATCCTCTTATATTGTAGCGAAAGCTAGACAATTTCCTCAAAAAACGAAGTGGATATGTAAAGCAACAGACATGTGGTTCTACAGAAGGATGATGGGAATAACACGAACGGAGGATATGAACAACGAGAAAGTTTTAAGGAAAATGGAAACAAAAAAAATCTTATACGTAGAATCAGAAAGAGATATTTTGAAATATTTGGGACATCGAATGAGGGAAACGAAATTCGACACTGACATGACTTAGTGAAGGCAAAGTTGGCAAAGAGAATTAATGAGTAACTTACATAAAATGCTTCTGTGAATGGATTGCCAAAATAAGGAGTAGGAGGAATAGTTCATTGATTTGTTTATTTAACAAATATCAGCTCCTTATGGCTCATCTAATGCTGAAATTTAATTTTCTTGGTAACTTTGAAGTAATGGAAATATATGTCATTCTGCTTTCACAGTTGAATACATGGTAGATGATACTCAGATTTTTTTCATGTACATATTTCTGTGGACATGATTACTAGAGGCGGTTATGTGCATGTTTTATGTTGTAGTTTTGTTGAAGGTATATTTTGGAATACCGTTTGATTTCTTTAAGAAATTTTAAGATATTATTTGGATTAATGTCATGAAAGAATTCTTTTATGTTGGTTATTTAGCTGCATATCAGTCTCTATGGATTATTTAATCTCGAAATGTAAAAATTTTGGACAGAATTCTATGGCTTCAACTTCAGATAATCGTATTGTTGGTCATCGTGCCATAAAATGGGTTATTGGTAGTTCTGCTTTTAAAAAATGTATTATTGGTTATTCTACTCTAAATATATATATATATATATATATATATATATATATATATATATATATATATATATATATACTGTTGGTCATTTATTTTATATAAAAAATATTTACTATATGATTAATTTGATACTTTCACAGTGTTTTGATTTTGTTTAGGGGTTGACCATTTTCCCATAGATAGGATGCTAACAGGTGCGATCTCTACGAGTCAGGGTGAACCTGAGAACAAAAGAAATTAAGAAATGATTCCATCCTTCTCAAAATCTCCAGACTCCCCATCAAATGCCTTTCTGAGAAATGTAGTTTATCGTCAAACCCAGTAATACAGATTGTAAATACAGATGCAATCATGCAACTTACAGACTCAAGTGCCTCGGGTGAAAGCTGTTGGAGTAATCTATTTGAATACGATTTGTTGCTCAGTCAAGGCTTTCATTATTTTTATATTTATTAATATTTAATAGTAAGAATACACACATACATACATACATATATATATATATATATATATATATATATATATATATGTATATATATATATATGTTTATATTATGTATATACATGTATATCTATACATACATATATGTAAGCAAATATATGGATATAGATCCGACAGTATAAAGAAAAATATACGAAAAAAACAAACAAAAACCCTTATATGCAATTATGCTGTTTTAATGTTAATGTAATGTCAACGTCGGACGTTTCGGTCTAATAAACCATCTTCAGGACATATTCATAAAATATAATTAACATTATCAATTCAACATGACAAAGACGATGTCCATAAGAACAAGACTTATCCAAACAGATAACTGAAAGTTTTATAAGATCAGCGTTCCTTTTAAACATGGTCACGTTGTCGTCACGTGGGCGACGCTCTAAAAACGTATTCCTAAAATTTGAGTATTTCTATTTTGATCTAAAATTTATATGTACCCTCGTCGAGCATTAATCTCGCTAGAAAAGGGGAAATACTAAAGAAGCCAGGTCTAGTATTCACCGTGCCAGAACGCTTAAGCCCTCGGCTACAATGACTTGTGACTTTAATCAATAACCCAATTTCAGTCACAAGACTTGGGTGAACCAGTGCTATGGTTTTTCAGGCACTTTCCAATGTCCTACCCTTCCATATATATCTCCTTCCCGATAAATCGACCATGTTGAGATTCAAACCGGGGTCTCATGGTCAAAATGCGAACAGTCACGTGCACACACACACACACACACACACATATATATATATATATATATACACACACATACAAATAAATATATATATATATATACATATGCTCCTGAGAATTTATTTTGGTTGAGCTCTGTGGGGAGGAAATGTGTGTTTATATAATGTGTGTTTATATAATGTGTGTTTATATAACTGGTTTTGCTAAATTTCAGCATCCTCACGTTTGCTGGAACCAAATTCAAGTTACTGAAGGTGACGTCATTTAAATGGTCATACTGAAATTTTTTTATATCTATTTAATTCTTTTTATGTACACTTCAATATACGATGCCCTATTGAGAAATGTACCTCATTTAATGTTGGTGGCTGCTACAACAGTACCCAGAATTTTGACTTTTTCTTTTCATTAACAAAATATTATATAGGACTCAATGCAAAGAATGACTTAAAGTTCTGGAAGCTATACGGTGACCATTCTCCTTTTTGGGATCCAAAAGACATTGCCTTTTATTGACTATAGTCAAAACGGCCACACAGTCAGGCAGTTAAGAAAGGCTATCAAGACCAAACGCCCCGGAAAACCGTCGAAAGTGGTCTAATGTCATCAAATCAATGCTCCAACACACAAGTATTCGGTTTCAATGGCTGCTGTGCGTATCTGGCTTTCAGCCGGATGATCATTCTCGCTATTCTCTTGATTTGACTCTCATCTCTTCCCTAAAGTGAAAAACTGTTCACTCGGAACCAGTATTGCAGTGAGGATAGCGTCTTCAGCTGTTGATAACTTTTTAACCAACAAGCCGAACTGTCTTCTTTCAACAATAGACACAGAGAAAATGCGTGGGAGATATAACGACGTTAAATGAAATAGAAATATCCTGAACATAATTTACTCAAAAATTTTCTTTTAATTTCGTTGAATTAAAGGGAATTCTAGGTTAGATTGATCAGTATGCAAACGGATTCCAATACAAAAGACATACCACTTTAATACAGTACATACGATTTGGGGCTAAACATACACCTTTATACTATAGAGTTACCCCACTTACTTTCCTAAAAGAAACGCCGCTAGGGGATGCTCGCTAAGCCTATAAATAGGGAGTGACATTCTGTTACTCTCTCTTTTTTCTTTTTCACTCAGGGACGGTTAGATGTAAATCGAACGAAGAAAATGCTTTCTCATTGGGAAACTCACACGTTTGCGCAAGCATATATGCACCTTCCCCTTCATTTCTCTAGGGATTTCCCCTACACCATACTGCACACACATACACCTTCACTAATTTAAATGTTTTCTTCTTTCATAATCATTGTTTTGTAACACTCAACAATATTCTATTGTCTGTGTTTACCCTTGTTTTGTTAATACATACTCATAGTTTGTTTATATATAGATAGTTTTGTTGTTACTCTCACATTCTATTACCCGGATTCACCCGTCA